TAGTTACGGATCATAATTTTGGGGATATTCATTATGAAATTGTGTGCTCAGTCTTCACCGCGAAATATACTGAGAGAAACAAATAAGGGAATACATTGAAAGTACACGTTCCTTTATTCTTTTCAAGGTTTCTTTGCATGCTTTGAATTGCTCTGTGGTTGAAAATCTGGAAATAAATAAAGGACCAGTGTGATAAAGTGGTGTTCCCTTATTTGTTTCCCTCAGTAAATATCCCCAAAATAGTCATGATCCGTAACTTTTTTGGTTCAGTATGTGTTTTTGTTGTTGCATATATTATATATTTTTTTATTATTGCACTCAGTTTGACTTTATTATTTCAATGTTAGAAATAATCCAGTTCCCTTTGCTGAAGGTATCTTTTTCTGGTAGCAAATTGTAATCATAGGATTATGTCAGACAAACTCATTTTCCTCATAAATAACCAGGTGAGATGAGTTTCCCAGTAGGTGTTGGTTTAGTGCTTATATGATGCTTGTGCTGTGTAGTCTGTAGACTTCCAGGCAGTGAGGAAATGATATTTCAGGAGGTGTCACATTATCTCAAAACCATATTTCATGAAGACATCTGATTATCTTGAGCCGTGGTGAGCTGTTTTAGATGTGTTGGTTGCTATATATACCAACTTTCTTTCATTTCTCTAATAGATGCAAAATAAATAAAGAGAGATTATTAGGAAGTTGAATTAGGATGTTTCCGTAAATATCATGTTATAGGAACAGAAATTGTATTGTTTGATATTTACCAAACAGAAACACATGGGGGTATTAATCACTTTATCATATAATTTCATTCTTGCAATAATCGATATATGTCATGTACCGCCACCGTGGTCTAGTGGTAGAGCGTCCGCCCGGAGAGCGGAAGGTCCAGGGTTCGATCCCTGGCCGCGGCATACAAAAGACGTTAAAAGATGGTTCTTGTTGTTACCCTGTCTGGTGCTCGACATTAAGGGACTAAAACAAGGACTGGTCGGCTCGGAGTCAGTATACTGAGTCTGAGTGGGGTATTCATGCGGCATGGTATCTCAGTGAGCTAGCACTATAAATCGGCATCAGTCCAGACTAGTACAAGCAGCCACACAAACACACACGTACATGCACGTCGCTATATAAGTGCAATAATCTTGGACGCGACGCTAAACCCCATTTCAACTCACCTCATGATATATGTCGTAATTTCTCTCAATGAAGAACTGCGTATGAATACAGTGTTTGAGTGAACCGTCCCATTTATCATATAGTGCCAAATTATTTGCAGCCATACCGGTCTACAGAATCACCCACACGTGGGAAAAACCCTATCTAAGCTTATTTCGAACGTTAGACAGTAGTTATGGAGCAAGCAAACATTGACACGTGGATATGGAGAGCAGTTTCTGTTGGGTGAACTCATTTGCATATTTATCGGATTATGATACCAAGTTTAATTTATTGGTTTATCACATCAATAACACTGTCCATTATAGGATGCAAATCCTGATCACTACTCACTCACAAGTGTTTATACACTGATAATGAATTGATTCAGCATATCTCAGCCAGAGACTGGTGCAGGGGTGAATGTACAGTACATTTCTGTGCAGAGTTGCCTCCCTTTGCCATGCCGGGTTCATCTGGGTGTGAGTTTATTTGCCCTGTTTATGATGATTGATTTGTCAGCATCTAGTCGTCGGTATCATTAATGTTACAAATCTATGACCTGTTTTAATTCTGCATTCCTCCCACATTAATATAAAACAGTGATATACCTGAATTACTGTTCAAATATGTGTTACACCCCAGTCATTCTTTTACTCAACCCATGAAAATCTGGGGTAGAATAGGTCTTCAGCAACCCATGCTTGCAGTAAAAGGCAACTAACGGAATCGGGTGGTCAGGCTGGCTGACTTGTTAGATGGATGTCAGTGTATCCTAATTGCGTGGATCATTGCACATGACGTCAATCACTGGATTGTCTAGTCCAGACTTGATTATTTACAGACTGCCGTCATATAGCTGGAATATTGCTGAGCGCGGCGTTAAACAACAAAAAACAAAATTTCTTTCAGTCAAATCACAATATTATGTAAATACTCCTGAAATTTTATTTTAATTATTAATTTGAATTTGCTCTCAACCAGACATTTTAACTTGACGTCACATCATCCGACACGAGAAGAATGTTACAATGTACACAACACATGTCTTCACCAAGATTTATTATGAAACTTTTAACTTGGCAACAAGCAAGAGAATTAAGGGTCCATCAAAATAAACACGTTTCACCAAGAAGATAATTAACACGCTGACATATTTAACAAAAAACAGATCTTTATTTCAAAATAAAACAAAGCCAGGTACAATGGTGTAAACAAGGGCTAATGAGAGACCTGGTTGACGAGGCTCGTCCTACAGCCAGCAGCAAGCTCGTCTGAGTCACATTGCTTCACCCGAGCCAGTGCATGCACATATAATTGTTACAGGGAGGAACAGTGTATAGTCCTCTTAATCAATTAATGTTGGTGGCCATGTGTGCAGTGTTTGTGATGACGGGGAGTGCATAAGGCCGATGTGGTGCTGTGTAGGGAATGTCAGATGAGTACTGAGCGGCTGTAATGAGACTGCGAACTGGCAGGTATAGTTGTAAATGTCGGAGGATGTTGTGTGGCCCAACTCAAGCTGGGAGGATGGGAGGGCTTGACAGGGATGTCATGATGTCATAGTGTGTCATGGGACGTCGTCTGTCACGTCATTAATGACTAGGGATGTCATGATGTCATAATGTGTCATGGGATGTCGTCTGTCACTTCATAAATGACTAGGAATGTCATAGTATGTCATCTGTCGTCATGTCACTTCATTAATGACTAGGGATGTCATAGTGTGTCATGGGACGTCATCTGTCACGTCATTAATGACTAGGTATGTCATGATGTCATAGTGTGTCATGGGACTTTGTCTGTCACGTCATTAATGACTAGGTATGTCATGATGTCATAGTGTGTCATCGGTCGTCATGTCACTTCATTAATGACTAGGGATGTCATAGTGTGTCATGGGACGTCATCTGTCACGTCAATAATGACTTGGTATGTCATGATGTCATAGTGTGTCATGGGACGTTGTCTGTCACGTCATTAATGACTAGGTATGTCATAATGTCATAGTGTGTCATGGGACGTCGTCTGTCACAACATTAATGACTAGGAATGTCATGATGTCATGGTGTGTCATCGGACGTCATCTGTCACGTCATTATTGACTAGGGATGTCATATTTACTATTTTATTTAATAACAGAAAATACCTATGGGTTGAATGAAAAAGTTTTATTTTCAGATATGAGAGCAGGTATTCATAAAGTTTCATGACTTTAAAAAATATATACCGTATTCGACGTAATAAGCGCCCAGGGCGCTCTCGAAATTAGAAATTGGGGGCTCTTATTAGAATATAATTGAAAGAGTTGAAAGATCGTAAATTTTATGGTTTCTGCTGACAGCCTGAAATGATACAAATGAAAAGTCTTTGCGTATTTTACACGACAGATATATTTTTCCAGAATTTAATTGCCCGTAATTAAGGGTGCATATAACACACGAGTGCGTATTATACACGAATAAATGTACACGTATTGTGTACATTGATCAGTCGGAAGGGTGCTAATTGGGATTGTTCACTAGCCAATATATTGGAAAATATCGCCGTGGGCGCTCATTAGAGCGGGGCGCTTATTACGTCGAATACGGTAACTGCACACGAAATTGAGGCAAATTAAGTAACGCAAAACATTTCGTATCTGGAGATATTTTGTATCAGGACATACCTACAATTGACTGTGTTCACATTTTATATTCCAGTACTGAACCCACTTTCGGGCATAACGCATATCTGATATTGTCCCACAAACATATTTAACTGAAGATAAGTCTCTGTACTTACTGACAACTTTGTTAGTGTGTAGGTAGCTAGGTCTGGCGGAGTTTACGAGCTGAAAGTATGTGTATATCCTTCACCTCCAGTCTTGGGGTACAAGCCCATTCACCTTGTACAATCCTGTGCTATCCGCCAGTGACACATGTAACTCATAATCCTTGTTTTGGGAAATTTTTCAATTCTGAAGAGTGGTTGAGTAAGTTGTAAACTGTGGTTATGTAAACATTGTTAGTCATGATATTCTTTCTAAAGCTGTTCAAGCATAAACTGAAGAACTGACGATCGGAAGCTTTAAAAAGTTTGTCATGTTTGAGTTCAAGGGTGTTCCATAAATATCTCTTATCTTCTAAATATGTAACTACAGCCATGGCACTATCTGACACACTTTCATAACATACATGACATTATTGATGGGCCAGTAAAACTGTCGTTGATTTTATCAGCACAGGGATGGATTCTCTGGCATTGTCGTCCTGTTTACAAGTCATTGCAGAGTTGCTTCCCCTAGCTACAGAATCTGCTGGTGAATAGTTTGATTCCCAGGTCTTTGGTTTGTCTGTACCATACCAATGCTTGTTGGTTTCACCCAGGTGACAACAATCTAGAACTCGTACATCTTCCTACACCTGACAAGCCATTATAGAATTGATAATTATATTGAAATAATGTTCAAAGCCCATCTCTTTCACTCACTCACTCCAATGTGAAGATCTGGCTTAGAATTGGTCTTCAGTAACCCGTGCATGTCAAAAGAAGAGATGAACAGGATCAGGTGATCGATGCTCTTGGTGTGAATTCATTTTTGACTAATGGTTTATGTAAAATAGCCAGATTTTGGAAGAAAACAACTAGTCCCCTCTGAGTTTTGTACTCGCCGTGTCTAACCCCTGGAAGTCAAGGATGAAAACCTTAACTATGTCTGCATGAATGTGTCCAATCCATCTCGATCAGATGGCAAGACTGTCCAGTGGTTGATGTAACAAAGAAAGATATAGAGTAAAATATTCAAGAAAAAGCAACTCACTCCATTCATGTTCGCTGTAGTAACAATGGTCTCTGTTACAGACGTGAGCTCCTTCTCCCAGGATGTGCAGAAGAACCTCAACGACTCTGTCCTGAAGATGCCCAACAAGTTCTCCTTCACGTCCCTGCTGGACACATGGGTAAGAGGCTGCATCTGGGGTCTTGCATTCAGCTCTGACCAATTAGTGCTACTACTGTCAACATGGGGCGGTCGGGTAGCTTAGTGGTTAAAGCGAAGACCCGGGTTTGATTCCTGACATGGGTACAATGTGTGAAGCCCATTTCTGGTGTCCCCCGCGGTGATATTGCTGGAATATTGCTAAAAGCGGCGTAAAACCGAACTCACTCACTCAACTGTCACCAGTCCCATAGGACCACCTCCGTGATCTAGTGTATGGAGCGTCTGCCCTGAGAGCGGAAGGTTGGTGGCTTGATCCGCGTCATGGCAAAAAATGTTTAAAGATGGTATTTGTTGTTACCCTGTTGGTACTCGGCATTAAGGGACTAAAACAAGGACTGATCAGGTTGGAGTCAGGATATTTTGTCTAAGTGGGGTATCCATGTTAAACTGTGGCATGGTATCTCAGTGGGCTAACACTATAAAACCGGCATTAGTCCAGACTAGCTGACACACTCACACGTGCATGCACATGTAGTTGAAATCTGCAGACCCATACACATCCATCTAAGACCTTCATCACTACTGGCGCTCCTCTATCAAAACTCACTACATCACATCCATTTCAAGCGTATATAATCTGAACACAGTGCGCTGGGGTCATTGGGTAGATCATCATTGAATTCTCTGGTCCAGGCTTGATTATTTACAGGCTGGCGTAAAAAAGCTGGAACACTGCAGAGGCTGGCGTTAAACAACCAACAAATAAACAATCCATGCCAGTTGATATGATTTTGCAATTATTTTTTATTTCAACATAAGCATGAACTGAAGTGTAGGTACTTTGGCATGTAGGTTTGGAACCATCTGGCAGTAAGCAGCTGAAGAAGTCTTTGGCTCAGATGTTTGTTCATTATCTCTTTCTCCTCTTCTGCATTCACAGGAGATGTGTGTGCGGAGAGCCTGTGCCTCCATCAATGTAGCAGGGGGCTGCTAAGGGTCACAACAGAAGGTGGGCGTGGTCAGGAACAGGAACATGGAGATCGTTGTGTTGCAGCCCTGTACCCACTCAAGGTCCTCATTCCACCTTGGCCCATGATGTTTTAGCACTCCTTGTCCATATATGGGTATGATGCTCCAGCAGTCTTTGTCCATATATGGGTATGATGCTCCAGCAGTCTTTGTCCATATATGGGTATGATGCTCCAGCAGTCTTTGTCCATATATGGGTATGATACTCCAGCAGTCATTTGCCATATATGGGTATTATGCTCCAGCAGTCATTGTCCATATATGGGTATGATGCTCCAGCAGTCTTTGTCCATATATGGGTATGATGCTCCAGCAGTCTTTGTCCATATATGGGTATGATGCTCCAGCAGTCTTTGTCCATATATGGGTATGATGCTCCAACAGTCATTTGCCATATATGGTTCCAATGTTATATATTTATTTGATGTTGAAGAGGTGATCGGACGTCAGTTGGATCAAGAGGACAAGATCTGTTGCTGAAAGTGCAATGTACAGACAAACTTTCATTTCAATCAATACCAGACTGCTTATTGAGAATTGTTTTTGTAAGCCTCTGTCTAACATTATGTATTGTTATGATTATTAACCATGTGTAATGAAAAGGTAAAAGTGGTGAGAACTTGGGAGGAATGTGTTGAGACATATACTGTGTCATAAGGTGATGAATCAGAATATGTTCAGTACAAGATAGTTTTCCATCTGTTTCATTCTTTTACTTCATGTAAGAATTTAGAAGGTTGATTCACCTGAAGTATACTTTCTGATGTACAGGGGTACATGCAGTAAAGAGAACTCAGTGTACTGGTCTCTCCAAGGTTCCTGGGGAGGCCAGGCCCAAGCACCTGCTGGTGTACTGGTCTCTCCAAGGTTCCCTGGGAGGCTAGGCCCAAGCACCTGCTGGTGTACTGGTCTCTCCGAGGTCCCCGGGGAGGCTAGGCCCAAGCACCTGATGGTGTACTGGTCTCTCCAAGGTTCCTGGGGAGGCTAGGCCCAAGCACCTGCTGGTGTACTGGTCTCTCCAAGGTTCCCGGGGAGGCTAGGCCCAAGCACCTGCTGGTGTACTGGTCTCTCCAAGGTTCCTGGGGAGGCCAGGCCCCAGCACCTGCTGGTGTACTGGTCTCTCCAAGTTTCCCGGGGAGGCTAGCCGCTAGGCCCAAGCACCTGCTGGTGTACTGGTCTCTACAAGGTTCCCAGGGAGGCTAGGCCCAAGCACCTGCTGGTGTACTGGTCTCTCCAAGGTTCCTGGGGAGGCTGGGGGGCAGGGGTGGCCCAGTCGTCTAGGGTGCCGCGATTCGCTGTGCAGAGTTGCGTCCCTTCGACACGCCAGAAACCTATGATTGTGGATTCGAATCCCGGTTCGCCCCGATTATGTTTCTAGGTTTGTCAGCACCATACCCGTGCTCGTAGGTTTCACCGAAGTGGTAAACGTCAGAGACCTGCATCACTTCAGGCTTTCCTCCCACATTAAGCTGACATGCCGCGATATAACTGGAATACTGTTAAAAGCAGCGTTAAACCCAACTCACTCACTCCTGGGGAGGCTAGGCCCAAGCACCTGCTGGACGATATTACTAGTTGGAGAATGAGAGGTTGTTGGTCACAAAGCCTTCATTGTAAAACTAGTGAATGGGTGAATGGGGAAGCTCAACCGTCGGCAGTGACTATTGTGTCAGTGTACCCTGAGTAATAATGTCCCTTAGTCAGGCCAGGATCCAGAGCTATATTGTGCCAAACTGTGGGGAATTAGGATTAGAATTGGTCCCTAGAACCCATGCTGGGCATGAGCCTGGATAAGGTGGCCACACTTGGTGACTTGGCTGAGGGCGTGCCAATGCATGCTGGCAGTTGGTTCAGATTTGATTATTTACATGAGGATATAGCTGTAATCAGTCTGACCACTTCTTAAAACTCCATTCAGGCACCATTCCCATTTCTTGCAAGTCTCTATAACTTTATGTTTGAGGATGAGGTGAAGCTATTGTTCATACTGTTTTGTGTAGTGTACTGTACTGTCACATGTATCATTGCCAAGATGATCATTAGAATAAACATATCTTATGTAATAAGGTGTTTGTCTTTGAATATATTTTAAGTTTTTACATCAACACTTCACTACCCGTGAAGATCCTGGGTAGAATAGGTCTTCAGCAACCCATGCTTGCCATAAAAGGAGACTATGCTTATCGTAAGAGACGACTAACAGGACGACTAGCGGACTTGGTTGATGCGTGTCATCGATCCCAATTGCACGGATCAATGCTCATGATGTCAATCACTGGATTGTTTGGTCCAGACTCGATTATTTACAGACCGCTGTCATATAGCTGGATATTGCTGAGTACGGCATTAAACAAACAAGCAAGCAAGCAAACAAACAAACAAACAAACAAAGCATAGGTCATACACATGAACAAGAGGCCAGTGCAGACAGCTCCACATAACACTTTTCCAGTGTGTCAGTTGCCCCCAATATCTACATACATATTCAGTCACAGTGATGTTCTTGCAATGAACCAGCAGGAAGGATCAATACGGTCAAAGCAGGATGATTGTGTTTACAATTGTTTTGTCTACAAATTCGTACACTGAACCATTTTCAAAATATTTCACTCTTTGTGAGTGAGCGAGTATGGTTTTATGCTGCTTTTAGCGATATTCAAGCAATATCACATGGGGGACATCAGAAATGGCCTTCACACATTGTACCTATGTGGGGATTCGAACCCATGTCTTCCGCTACCCCACCACCCCTACTCTTTAAGTCATGGACGGTCATAATCTAAGCTTTCTGGACCTGAGGCATTTTTACTGGACACCAACATCAGACGAGTGGCCAATGTGACTCCAATTTGATACCAGTATTTTGACCAAATTAATGTTTGTGACATGGCTGCTAATCAACATTTTATGTAAATAATAGTAACAAAACCATTTCCATAATCAGAACAATTCTACGGAAGCGTAGTAGGGCCACAGTGAAATTTTTAGTATCTCCTAAGTAGGACTTGCTATCTCCTTCGTAGGACTTACTATCTACTACGTAGGAGGGGGGCACGGGTGGCCCAGTCGTCTAAGGCGCCGCGATTCGCTGTGCAGTGTTGCGTCCCTTTGGCACGCCAGAAACCTATGATTGTGGGTTCGAATCCCGGTTCGCCCCGATTATGTTTCTAGGTTTGTCAGCATCATACCCGTGCTCGTGGTTTTCACCGAAGTGGTAAACGTCTGAGACCTGCATCACTTCGGGCTTTCCTCCCACATTAAGCTGACACACCGTGATATGACTGGAATACTGTTAAAAACACAACTCACTCACTCACTCTCAATAATGACGCTGAGTATGGTTATGTCTTTATTCCTCACAGATATGTTGACAGAACATGTTATATCATTCTTCACTTGATGATTTACAGTATTGATTCTTGACACATTGAAACTGTATTACAACAAAAAATGCAGCAATGTATATCGAGCCAAGGTCAGCAGGTTCCTGTGAAACCGGTCCTGCATATGGAGAAAGTGTCATGGTTTCTTGTGGAAGCCTGCATATTGCATAAGGTACAAGAGTTTTATACCCACGAGTAACTTGTTTATCCATTCAGTTATGAAGATTGTGTTTCGGGCTGTATTGTTCATTATCTCCGGATGGGGAAATCTTAAAATTGCATAAGCCTGCCCCAAAAAATGTCATTGGGCGATGGTTAGCAGAGACCCTGTTTGCATCCTCTGGAAGACGAGGAGAAGAAGTTCACATCAAAGTACAGGCTATGCCAACACACAGCAGTAAACACCCACAGAAGGTGCTTGAACGTTATGTGATGGTACATCAACAGACTGGCATGAAGGGTTGACAGACTTGAGTTAATCCACTTGTGTGGCTACCACTACTGTTCCCCAATCTTTGAGCAGCTAGAACGTAAGCAGCCATTGGTAAACTGTACACTTAAATAATGTCTCCTAATATGGCCCAGCTATCATTGGCCCAGTGATATACTTGGTAAGATGATACAACCCCAGACCCCCTCCAGAATATCAAATTGTTGTTCCCATATAATATAAGACAATTATAAGAGGTTCCCATATTCTATATTTGTGACGACCGCCTCCGTGGTCTAGTGGTAGAGCGTCCGCCCGGAGAGAGGAAGGTCCGGGGTTCGATCCACGACAGCGTCATACCAAAAGACGTTAAAAGATGGTACCCTGTCTGGCGCTCGGCATTAAGGGGCTAAAACAAGGACTGGTCGGCTCGGAGTCAGTATACTGTGTCTGAGTTGGGTATTCATGTTAAACTGCGGCATGGTATCTCAGTGAGCTAGCACTATAAATCGGCATCAGTCCGGACTAGTACAAGCAGCCACACAAACACACACACGTACATGCACGTCGCTATATAAGTGCAATAATCTTACATGCTCAGAAAAACACGCAAGGAGAATCTGATATATGGTGATCTTTCAGCTCTCGTCTCCACTTCACCGAAACTGACCGTCAATAGATCTAGATCTTTAGATAATGAAAATCGTGCCCCTTTCTCAATATACCTAATACATATGCGTCATCATATGTTAGTCATCTGTAGCAGACGGTAATCTAAATATCGTCTGCTTCTCAGGGGAGTATCTCATGTTAACCCACAATGCATCTCCCCGATAGAGACAGTAGTGTCCCCCACACAACGAGCCGTAGTAATTACGTGCGGAAGCGTACAACAGGAGTCTGTGGTAATCTCGTCTGCTCTTCGTCAGAATATGTCCCTTCGCAAGGGTTTCTAATACGTGTTGAAACATGTTGGGGGAATCTACTACACTGATATTTAATACATTGTTCCATTCAACCGTACCGGCAAATTAAAGTTTACCCTGCCTCCCGTCACACACAAGCTTGTCTGTTTAAACATACAACCCGTCTTCCATAAATTATAAGTGTTCATCATATACTCGTTTAGCTATAAGTTTATGTCAAACAAATACACCTATGTCAGTCGACGTGTTTCTACTGACAGGCAAAACTTCCAGCGGATAGTTTTCAGATTTTCAGAATTTTCGTCTGCATTTGTTCTCAGATTAATATCATCAAAACTGTTGACGGCTCCAGATTCTATGATGTCTGCCAGACAACAAACATCCAACGCCGGTATTACCGGAAGGTGTCGTATCACAAGGATGTCCGGAAGATGTTGTGGGCTCGGTTGCAGATGATGTAAAAGCAAGTGAGAAGTTTGCAAAATTGCACCTTAGTGTTTGTTTATTTGTAGTGAGCAAACAGCAAGTTCTGAGGCATTTGTCATAACATGGTTCTCCGCCCTGCATTGTTTTCCTTACTGGTAAAAACAAGTGCCGCTTTCAAAGAAGATCTAATAACTGGAGAAGCTTCTGAAGAATTTTTATATATCTTGTTTTTGAGGGGATGCGCTGGATATATCTTTAGAAGGAAATTCTATTAATACTAATATGCCACTTAGTTGAAATTGACCCTGAACTTATAAAGGCAGGCAGTTGTTACGTCGGGGTGTGTGTACTAGAGCAAGGTGGTTATTCAAGGATGTACGCTATCTTCTACCTGAATAAGCAAAGTGTGGCCGAAATGGAAAATAATGCAAGTGAAGAAGAAAAGGAAACACAAAGTTTATTACCATTATATGCAAATACCTGTATAAAATACAATGGATAATGGAAATAAACCAACTAAAATCATATAAGGATGAACTCATAACAATGTTATCAGGAGGTGAGGTGAAATGGGGTTTAACGTCGCGTCCAAGATTATTGCACTTATATAGCGACGTGCATGCACATGTGTGTGTGGCTGCTTGTACTAGTCCGGACTGATGCCGATTTATAGTGCTAGCCCACTGAGATACCATGCCGAGATTTAACGTCTTTTGGTCTGACCTTCCGCTCTCCGGGTGGACGCTCTACCACTAGACCACGGAGGCGGTCGCTATCAGGGGGAAATTGGCAAAGAAAATTTGGCTCAGTTACTTTAACTTTAGGCGGTTGCAGACATTCTTTGTGATTGATAGGTTGAGACAGAATGGGATGACTCTCAAGATCTGTTAACCCGGGAATATCCAGCAGGACATCCTGATCTAGGTCAATATCAGCAAGGTTGAAAACCTCAAT